GCTGGCCACCAATGAGAAGAGCCTGGCCCCTTCTTCCCTGCATTCTCCCTTCATGAACCTGTTAATCAGATTCCCTCTCAGCCTTCTCTTCTCCAGAGAAAACAGGCCCAGCTCACTCAGTCTCTCCTCATACGAGAGATGCTCCAGCCCCTTAGTCATCKTAGTTGCTCTCCCTTAGTTGCATTCCCTTCATCTCTTAGTTGCTCTTCCAGCCAGGCCTTGCYGTGGGAAACGGGATCTCCGTGGGAGTTGATTCGGAGCCTGGGAGGAGGCTTGGCTGTTCAGCTGCAGAAGCAGGAGTTACCTGGGCCGTGCTGATCAAAGGCAACGKTATCTGCTGACTCTTCTCACACGCACAAAGTGCTGCTGTGTGGAAAGCAACCTTGTGTCATCCGTCCCGTAGAGGTAGCCCGGCCCGTGGTGCTGGCTGAGCAGAACCAGGCGCTGGTTTCACCTGTTAATGGCAGCTTTCATTCTTCTCAGGAGCTGGGAATGCCAGATCACAAACGGTGYCCTGAGTCACGGGAGCGTTTATCTTTTATATGGCCCTCACCCAAACTGTATACGCAGCTTAAACGCTGATGCTGGGAAGACCTATTTAGGTCTGTACTTAACGCTAGTCTGTGCTTGGCTCTTCCTTTTGTTTCTCCCGAGTGCAGTTGTACAGTGTTTGCAGCAGGAATGAGGGCTGCCCATGGCAGGGCACGAGCGGCCTCGGTTCATTTTCCGATCAGAACACTAGATCATTTGCAGAAGGTCCTAAACTGAGAGCATTTGTGGCCATACGTGGACTCTTGCTTGGGGTAGGTGGCACTGAATCAGTGGCAGCGCCGCTGTGGGGCCGCGGCTAAAGGAACTGCCCCACATCGGCCTGCAGGCTGCCCCACATAGTTGGCGTGTGGTGGTGGTTGAAAGCCAGGGCTGGAAACGGGCTTGGAGATGGCCCTCGCTGCTGGACGCTGGCGTCTGATTCCTGGTGAGATAAAACGCTCTGTGTTTSAGGGCCTGCAGCGCTGGGCTGCTTCCCTTGGCGAGTTCGTCCCCTCCGTAATCGTCATGTCCATGCACATCCCTGCTTTCCCGTGCCACAGAGCTTCCCACCCTAGGTTCCGGCAGCAGGAGCTGCCCGCTGTTTGGGACGCTCTCGCTGGGCTGCCCCTCGAGCCTGGCTAATCCTGAGCCCGAGGTCTGGTTCAGCCCGGCCCGGTGCAGCACCAGCGGCCGCCCTGGAGCCTCTCGCCGCGTTTCTCCTCTTCTCCTCGGCTCTCCACCTGCTCCTAGCCCTGCGGAGCCGGCACCATTCCCGTTCTCCCTTCCGGCTGCCGCTCTTGTGCAGCCCGGCYGCGTCCCGAAGCCGGAGCTGTCCCCATTCCCTGTTCCCTGCTGCGGAGCGGGAAGCCGAGGGAATTTCACAGGACACCTCCAACACCGCCTCGCTGAAAATACCCCCGCTCCTCCTTAACTCAGCCCTTCCAAAGTGTTTCCTCTCCCTCCTTTCCGTAACTTAAATTCAGCCCTCTCTGTAGCTTTAGTAGTCCTAACTAATGCTCTTCCTAGTGACTAATCCTTTCCCTGTTAATCTTTGGGCAGCGTCTCCGATGCAGCTAAGCCAGGTATTTTCTGCTTTCTCATCACTAACTCGTGAGTGTGTTCAGCTCTTCCTCCTTGCCTTTATTATCTAAGATGATACGCTAATATTGTGATAAGGAAATATTTTGCATGTTCTTTAGAAAACCTGTACCTCGATGTTTTAGGAGAAGAATAATATTTTATTTATACATTCTTTAGTTCCTTAATGCTATTTGCTAAGCTTGGATTTAATAAAAATGTTAATAATTTAAAATGCCCCAGACTGTTTCTAGGATTGGTTAAATGACTTTGATATTACAGGGTGACTTTTGCCCAGAAGACAAACATTTATACTTTTAATTAATTTAGTATGTACTCCTAGAAAAGAAATCTGCTCAGATGCACTTGATGTAGCAGTGAAATACGAGAAATTACATGATGATCTTGATGTGCAATTTTTTTTTTAAGGTTTGTTTCATTTTGTTTCATTTTACACTTTGTTTAAAAATGTCTTTTCCCCTTTCCCTTGTAAAGGAAGAGACCTGTGGGTTCTTGTTCTGGGAAAGTATCCAACCCACCATAAGATTGGCATTCCAGAGTTCAAGTATGTTGCTAATATGCATGGGGATGAGGTACGTTTCAACCTTTACCATATATATATCCTTTATACCAAACACACTAACCACAGACAGAGAGCTTTTCTCAAGCCTGTAGTGCTTATCATTGAGCATCGTTCCTCAAAGATGGCCTGAGCTGCTTGTATCCCTTGAGGATTTCCRCGGACAAGGTTCATTTGTTGTATCACAGCGAAGAGTTCTGCACCTAAGGCCTCTCTTAAGCAGGCAGAGCTCTGTCTTGATACAGCCAGAGACTTTAACTGCACTGGAAATTAGTGACATGGGGGAGTTTGCTTTTTGTTCCTGCTGACWGGGCATGAAGGATGACCGAAGCTCTTCAGCTCATCCCAAAGGTAAATAATAATTCCCGTGACTCACGTCCCAAACCATCTATTTTGTGACAACAGTTCCCTTGGGAACATTAAGCTGCGGATACCTAGATTTGCTTGGGATGAAAAGCTCTTTGAGGCTGAATTTGCTGAGGAGAGAGTGCCCGTCCCTAAGGGAAGGGAGACGGTGCCTGGCAAGGTAACGGTGACTGGTTCCCTTCCCGGGTGGCCCTGGAATCTGCGGTGGGAAGGGTCAGGGCTTCCTCTTCGCCCTCTCCTCTTCTGGCCTTCTCTCTCTTTCTCTTCCTTTCCAGCTTTGCCTGCTTTTGCTAGACAGGCTCGGGCTTAACTTTGAGCCGCACTTCCCAGCRGGAGAGGCAGATCCCGACCCTGTCACAGGAAGGGCAGGACACAAGCCACGGAGCAGACATGGCTTGTGTTGCGGGGCCTGGAGAGCGGCACGAAGCCTCTGCCCTGCCTTGGGAAACGTGGCCCCTTCCCAGCCGGATCAGCCGGGCTTGTAGGCTGCACATCCAGGCACCCTCAGGCTCCGGAAGGCCCCATTCCCGCCGTGCTTCCTGAGGTGACTTCCAAGTGAAGCGACGTCGCTGCCCACCTTTGTGTGTCCACAGAGCTCTGCTGTGGGGACAGGTGCTCCACACGTATCCATAGGGGCAGGAATTAGCTCTGGAATTAGATCTTAGGCTGGGGCACAGCCTGAGAACTTATTTCTATGTGGTCTATGCAACAAGCGAGGCAAAAATCTTTGGCATCAGGGCCTGTGTCACAAGTTGCAGAGCGAGGATCCGTGGATTTATCCATGGATTGCCCAGCTCGGTGCTTCTCTAAGGAATGACATTCCAGCTTGTGCACCAGGCTGAGGAGCGACCCTGGAAACGGAGCCCTTTTTCCAGGCCCTCCTGAGGGTCTTTGCCCTGCTTTAGTTTTTAGTTTTTGCTTAGGGACATAACACTCAAGCATTAATTTTCTATTCTTATTTTTTTTTCCTGTCTGACCAGAAATGCATTTCAGATGGCAGGAAATTAATTCCTTGTAGAGTGAAGCACTGGAGAACTGGACCGTTTATTCCCATAATCTAAGATTCCGCTGGATTAGCCACTTGGGAAAGTTTCAGCTTCCCCYGTATGCTGCCCCACAGCGTTTCCTAACTCAAAACTGGAGCGTTATGGTTTCCTTGATATAACTGCCTGCTGTGCCTCCTTGTTGCCTGCCATATGTACATATATATGTTTTGTGTGTGTATAAATATATATATATATTTTTTGACGTAGCCAGCAGCCTGTTTTTAAAACCGGAGAGGAGCTGTGGGGAAGGAGGCGAGTAGCCGGCGCGCTGGCTGTTCACACGTGCAGCTGGAAGAAAGCCCGGGATATTTGGAGAGGTGCCTAGCAGGGCACTCGGTATAAAATAATGGGAGCACAAACGTAGTTTYTTCAGCATCAGAAAGATCATTTTTGGTAGGCGGAGACCAAAGTGGAGTGATTTTGGGGGCAGTCATTGCCAAACAGAGGCACTTTTGCCCCCGCCAGCCGCCGGCCTCTCTGTGCCCAGGGAAGTTGGGCACCGTTTGGAGCGGGTCCGTAGCCCAGGCCAGCTTAAAACCAACGATCTATCACTTAGATAAAGCTATCACCTTGATAAGGCCTGCGCCGGCCTTCCCGGGGCAATGTATTGACCTTGCTGGCTTRGCTTGCCGTTTAAGGTAAGGGAACTGGCCTGTGCATTCCATGTCATCCCGGCAGCAGGCATCTCCCGAGGGGGGATTCCGGAGACAGGGCCATTCCTCGGGGTTTGGTGACTGCAGGCAGGAGTAGCTTTGTCATCAGTATAACCAGAGCCTTGAAAAAACAAGTTAATATGAGCCCTGTGTAAAATTCCTCACTCATTTCCGAGCGGCACACGCACTTGTACCGTTCCCGGTGCACGGGGTGGGATGTTTGCTACCAGAGCTGCTTCCATGCGCTGTGGGGCCGTAATGCCACAGCACAAAGGAAGGGGAGAGGCGCTGGAAGGGCATCGCCTGGCCCCCTTATCCCGCTCTCCGGGGGGAGATCCAGTGGGGCACGGAGCGGGGAGGAGCAGCTCCTGCCTGGCGGCTCAGCGCGGCTGGGATGTGGCCCCGCGCAGGGCAGGGATGTCCCCAGCAGGATGGGCAGGAATGTCCCTGCAGGATGGGGTAGGATGTGCAGGGATGTTCCCGCAGGATGCGCAGGGATGTTCCCGCAGGATGCGCAGGGATGTTCCCGCAGGATGTGCAGGACACGCGGCCCCGCTCCGCGCTGCCCATAGAGGTGGTTTGAGGGCAGGGCTGCCGCAGGGAGAGGCTGGAGCCGACGCTCCGGCTGCGCCCCCGGCATCGGGGCAGCCGGGCCCCACAGCTGCCGCCTCCCCTCCATGGACACATCCCATGGCGCTTCCCAAGGGAGCCGGAGCAGCCCCTGCCGCAGCCCTTCCGAGAGGGGCTCCTCGCGGCTGGGCTGYGCCGGGTTCTGCTCGGTCAGGGCASCGGCCCCACGTGTGTCACGTGTGTGATGAGTGCCGCCGTGCTCGGCTGCTGCAGGGAGTTCGGCTAGGGGTTCATGTCGCGTGGGGCCGGGTCAGCTCTGCGGTGCCGCGCGCGTGGCCCCGCTCTGCTGCTGCCAGCGCTGCCCTTCCCACCGCCTCTCCCTGCTGCTCCTCCTCAGCTTCCCCTGCCCGGCCCCGCTCTGTCCCTCAGCTCCCCTTCCCTTCCCTTCCCTTCCCTTCCGCGGGGTCTCCAACAGGAGCCCAGCGGCCCCGGCCCGGCCGCCCTTGGGCTGCCGCCTGCGTGACGCCGCTCTCCCTTTCCCTCCTTCCTTCCTTCGCTTCTTCCTTCCTTCTTTCCCTCCTTTCCTTCCTTCGCTCCTTCCCACCTGCAGCCGTGTTCCCAAGACGTCTGTCACCTTTGGCCGGGCTGCATTCCCAGCTGAGGCTCAGGGCAGCTCTCCTGTTCACAAGGAAGCCGGGACACACACACACACACACACACACACACACAACCCATTAGCTGTGTCCGTGTGTCCGTGCTGTTCCCATCTCGGTGGTGCCAGACTCCTCCCAAAAGGCGCTCAGAGCGCGGGGCAGTTCCGGCTGCTCCCGGCACGGGCTGTGCCCAAGGCTCCGCGGGGCCTCGTTCTCCCCATCCCGGCCGGGCACAGGGATCCCCGGCAAAGCCGCCGGCGCCGCTCCTGGAAGCCTCATCCCGGGGCTCTCCCGCCCTTGCTCCGCATGGAAGTTGCYGGTAAATTGGCCACGATCTGACGGGGAGGCCACAGAGGGGCCTGTCCGGCCTCCTCCGAGCCGGCTCCACGGGCGGCACCCGTGTCCCGCGCAATCCCTATGGAGCCGGCTGCTTCCCGGAGCAGCCCGCGGGTTTGGGCTGTGGTCGCTCCCTATCCGTGCGGCGCTGGAGCAGCAACAACAGCTTTGGTTCCAACACTGGCGTGCCCTGTGTGTCGGTGTGATCCAGTTAAAATAATACTGATGGAATGCAAGGTGGGGGTCTCGGCGGCAGGAATAATCCCCGTGCTTCCCTCGGCAGACTGTCGGGAGGGAAATGCTGCTCCATCTGATCGACTTCCTGGTGACCAACTACGGGAGCGACCCGGTTGTTACGCGGCTGCTCAACAACACCCGCATCCACATCATGCCGAGCATGAATCCGGAYGGATTCGAGGCGACCAAGGTGCCCGACTGCTACTATTCCCTGGGCAGGTGAGCGAGGAGCGGGCGTGAGGGAGAGGGGCTGACAGCAGGGATGTGTGGGGCGAGCAGCACGTGGGGCGAGTGGCRTATGGGGCGGGCAGGGTGGGCACAGCCGCTCCCCACTTCTCCAGGCCCTCCCTTTCCTTGGGAGAGGGATTTATTCCGCAGCAAATGGCCGGGGCTGCTGCACAAGGCACCACGTTTCTGACCCCCTTCCCGGCATCCAAGCCGACTTCCACGGAGCTTGAAGTCGAGCGCAGCTAGAGCCGAGTTCCCCGTGAAACGGAGCGCCCGCGGTGCCGGGGACACGGACACGGGCCCTGCGGGAGACGGAGGACGTGGGAGGCCACGGGAGCCTCTCTGCTCTCCCTCAGGTACAACGGGAACGGCGAGGACCTGAACCGCAACTTCCCCGACGCCTTCGAGCTCAACAACGTCACGGTGCAGCCGGAGACGCGCGCGGTCATGGAGTGGATCAGGAGGGAGACGTTCGTGCTCTCGGCCAACCTGCACGGCGGGGCGCTCGTCGCCAGCTACGCCTTCGACAACGGCAACGCGGGTGAGCGGCGCCGGCGGGCGCCCCACGGCCCGGCCCCACGGCCCGGCCCCACGGCCTGACCCCTCCGCCCCGCAGCCACCGGCTCCTCGCAGGGCTACAGCAGGGCTCCGGACGACGACGTCTTTGTCCACCTGGCCAAAACCTACTCGTACAACCACGCCAGCATGTACAAGGGCGCCGGCTGTGACAACAGGCAGACCTTCCCGGGCGGCATCACCAACGGCTTCTCGTGGTACCAGCTGGAAGGTAACGGTGTCGCCCGTGTCCCCGGTTCAGGTGCTCCGGCGGGGGTGTTCCTGCCCCTCCTGCCCCCCCGGGGGTGACACTGGCTGGTTCTGCCCCCGTGAAGGGCTGGTTCCAGGGCTGCTTCCAGCTGTGGGAGCCGCCACGTTCATCCCCACGGGTCTCTGAGCAGGATGCAGCGTTTGCAGACGCTCCTGGTCTGCAGGGACAAGTGAACAGGGCGGCTCACTGTCCTGCTCTTCCCAACGCCAGGACAGGTTCCCTGTAGCTGCAGCTACACACAGCACCCACACAGCCATCACAGGCTGCTTGTTAACGCCGTACCGACCCATTTGCACAGCTACATTGAGCCTGGAGGCCAGGATCTTTCCTTGGAGAAAGCCGGGAATGACTTGGCTGTCGACAGTGCTTGGAGTTCATCRGCTGTAACTGAGATCGATAAAAACCCATTTCCTTTCAGGAAGAAAACCAAAGTCGAGTCACCTTTTATTTCGTTAACCGTTGATTACAGAAGTGCTTTAATCTGTGCCTGTTTACAGCCACAAACAGCCYGTGTGTCGCTGCCACAGTCTCAATCCAAGGCCTTAGAAAGCTCCAAGGGCAGCTGTGGGAAGGGGCAGCGCTGCCCCAAGGGTAACTCTGTCTGCCCCATAGAGTGGTGAGTGCGGAGCGGTGCTGTGCGCAGGACCAATTGATCTCCTGCCCCTCCGGAGCAAGAAAGCCATTTTTCCACAGTAGATACCAGTGCCCGTGGCACTGGGGACGGATGCAGCTGGTTTGCCTCCGTGCTGCACCTCCTTGCAGGTTTGGTGCTGCCAGCACCAGCGCTGAGCTCCCTGCTGCTCCCCTCGCGTGAACGCTCTGCTTCTTCCCAGCTCCGCGCCCTTTGCTTCGTCTCCCATGCCAGGTGGAATGCAGGACTACAACTACGTCTGGGGACAGTGCCTGGAGATCACCTTGGAGCTGTCGTGCTGCAAATACCCCCCCGAGGACCAGCTGGAGAAGTTCTGGCGGGACAACCGGGCGGCCCTGCTCGAGTACATGAAGCAAGTGCATCTCGGTGGGTGCGCGGCCGCAGCCGGGCTCCTTCCCGCTTTTTCCCGCTCCTTCCCYGCGGATCCTGGGCAGTGCCACGTGGCGGCGGCCGCGCTGCCCGCCCTGCGCGTCGGGCACTTGCTTCTCCCCCTGGAAAAGGCCGCTCAGAGCGAGTGTGGTGGGAGAGGCGCCCGCCCCTGCGCGAGGAGACGGCCCCTCCAGCCCCTCCGGCGCCAGCCTCCCGCTCCCAAGTCCCACAGGAGCTGTGGGTTCGGACAAGCGCAACGTGTTTTCCGGGGCTCTCGCTGGTTCCTGGTGCAGCAGGARGCCGGGAAAGCCGCTGTCGGCCAGGGGGTACTGGGGTCTTAAAGGGTGTCGTTAAAATGCAAGCAGTAACCTGAGTCTGTGTGATGGTTTTGGCAAACGAGAGGTGCAGAGAGCAGGATGCCACTTTCTACATTAGCACGGGGGTAAACAGTACGACTTTTTTTTTAAGGGTTTCCTATTTTAATTCCTTTTGTGAGATGTAAGTGGCCTTGGKGACTGCTCAGAGGTGCTGGGCGGGCAGGGGCAGCCCCGGCAGCGCCGCGCTGCGCCCTGCTCTCCTCTCGCCCCGCGCAGGCGTCAAAGGGCAGGTCCTGGACGGCAGCGGGCGGCCCGTTGCCCAGGCCATCGTGGAGGCCGTCGGCCGCTCCCACGTGTGCCCCTACAGGACCAACGAGCACGGCGAGTACTTCCTGCTCCTGCTGCCCGGCACCTACGTGATCAACGTAAGTGCGCGCGGCCGCCCTGCTTGCCCACGGGCCCCAGGGAAGGGCCTTTCCTGCTGGAAAGCACCAGCCCCCTGGAAAATTCCTGCTGGGRTGGGCCAGGGCCGTGAGGAGCAGGGCAGCCGCTGGGTGCAGCTTTAGTCAGTTCCTTCGCTTTGAATCCYGACGCCCGCAAAGGCCAACGAGCCGAACCCGTGTCCAGGGAAGGCCTCGTTGTGTCCCCCGGGCAGCTCAGCAGGCCTCACTGCAGCCCAGCTGCCGTAKGGGGAGTCGCTGCTGTTTCCTCAGCCTGTAGCTTAGTTTGTGCCTGGGACCCTTCCTGACGGCTCCAGCGTGTTTAAAGCAGCACGTTAGGCAACGATGGTCACACAGCAGCCATCGACATCTAAAACCAGGTAAGAAGGAGCTCTCTCCTGTTTGTTCCCAGGCCACCGTACCAGGATTCCAATCCCAGCTGAAGACGGTGGAGATCCCGGATAACACAGCGAACTTCAGCGCTTTGAGATACGACTTCACTTTCCCGGCAGTGTCCGTGAGGACGGGCGCGGCCCCGTGTCCCACCTCTCCGCTGTACGGCGAGCTGGGGCGCTCCGCGGCGGCGGGGAGGGCAGCGCCGCGCGGCGTCCTGGCCGCCACCGTCCTGCTCGCGCTCACCGTGACCTAAGGGCAGGAAGGACGGGGCAGGGCCAAGGCCACGGCCGCCTTCCCCGGGGTGGCTTCCAAAGAAGAGTATATGCAAAAGAATGTATGTTTTATAAATGACAACCTCAAGACTTAAGATTATGTTTATTGTATTTTATAAAATCCTGGCTAGACAATCAGATGTTTAACTGTAATTGAAGTATTTATGTATAAAAATACGAGTCTAAGAATTATTGTACAGCTGCTGGAGACGGACGCTGTGGAATTCCAGCGTGGAAAGTGTTGCTTCGCTTTGAGCAATCGGCATCGAAGGCGGCCCGGCCCAGCCGCGCACGGCAGCCGTTCCGCACCGGCCCTGGCCCTGGCGAGAGCCGGGGCCGGGCCCTGCACCCTGCGAYGCGGAGCTGGCGCCGCTTCCTGCACCGCTGCAGCCGCTCGGTATCGGTGACGGCGCCGTTACCCGTGCCTGGCGCCGCCCCGGGCGGCACCGGGGTACAAAGAGCAGCYGGGGCTGTAAAGGGAGGTGGAAGCGCAGAGTGCCAGAGGGCAGGGAGCRCGTGGGCTGCTCCGGCGCCAGCCGGAACCTTCTCCCAGGTGGAGCTACTGCCTGTCYGTGGAAGTGTCACCCGCAGCCTCTGAGCTCACCCAGCACCTTGAGAGCCAACTAAGGACTTCAGGGTGGCCCGTGGGTGCTGGGCGCCCCCTTCAGCCAGGAGCCAAGCGGAGCTGCTCACGAAGGCCGGCYGGGTGCCGAGCACTGGGACCCTGTCCGGGAGCTGCAGGGTGCTGCGTGGAGCCTGCGAGGAGGTGCCTTTGGGCCCAGCTTCTGTGAGCTGTTTTTAGGGGCCTTGGAAAAGAGAAATCAGTGACAGTGACAGTCAGGGTTGGTCTGGGCCTGGGTGCTCCCGTTAAAGCTCTGGCTGGTGGGAGTTTTCCTCATTTAAGAACGTTTCACATGAGAACACAGGGCCCGGGCTCGGTGGAGGGGGCAGCAGCCCCCGTCCTGCACCGCTGCTGGGGCCCATGCAGCTCGTGACAGGGTAGGAAGGTGTAACACTTCCTTCTGATCCTGTCACTTAAAGCAAAACCCATCTGAGCAACCAACCCTGGGCCCTTCAGGTTAAGGCCCCTAGAGCAAGGAACAGAGGAGGTGGCAGCAGCCGCGGGGCAGTGGGAAGATCCTGTGCCTTATKTCACTGTTGGGATTTCTGCTGCTTTGCAATCACGCAGGTTTTTAATTCAGTGAAACGAATGCTTAAAGAAATAACACCAAGGACTGGGTACAGAGATCTATATATAAAAGAATGTTTATTGACACCTGTTGAACATAACGTTTAAGATGATGAGAAAAGGAAAGCCTTAAAACACAACGTGTCTCTAGAGGGGCGCCCTGCTCTGCACATGCGGGGCGYTCACTGCCGCACGGGCGGCAGGAGGGCGGCCCGTGGGGCAGCCCATGGGGCAGGGCTGCAGTGTCGCCATCACTCACCCTCATGCACCGCTCGGCCCGGCCAGCAGCGGCAGGCGCCGCTCGGGGAGAGCGGGACGATGCTTCGGGATCCCGGGCAGGCCCCTGCGCAGCGTGGAAACGGGCGCTCCCGTACAGCCGGGCGATTCCGCTCAAAGCCCAGTTTACAAGACAAGGGGGGTGGTAGCGCATTATAACCAATTGTACAATAAATACTCTGACGACAGACATGCTTGAAGCCTGTGCTGTGCCTGTACCAGACCAGAAAGCGCACGTCAGCCAAAAGCAGCGAATTTTCATTTTTAGTAAGCTCTGAACCTTAAGATCCTTAAAAATAACATTAAACTCTAAGGCTCTGAATTTGCACTTTGCAACAGCTCTCAGCTACCGCGTACCCAGCGCGGGAGGCAGAACCTTCCCTGGTGCCAGCAGCTCCTGGGGCAGCTCCGCATGCCGCCGGCTGCTCCCGGGAGCCGCAGCGCCGGCTACAGCCGCGTGGCCGGGGGTACAACAGGCGGTGCCACGTGTGGCCCCGGAGCCCCGCGGCTGACGCGGGGACCAGGCGCCCCCACTTTGCTGCGCCCGGGGGTTTCTAAGCCCTTGCCCACAATAACGGGGCTTTCTGAACCAAACCATTGCCCAGGCTGGCACAGGCTGCGRGGAGCAGAATTGGTTCTTCCTTTGAGTTAGACTCAAAAAAGAACCCAGGGATGAAATGAAACAAAACCCGGTCACCATCTTTCACTGGGAGCCTCATGTCAACTTTTGTCCTTTCTAAGCCCCAGGGCCAAGGGAGGTGGCAGCCGTAGCCCCTGGGGAACCAGGTCCAGCGCACGCTGCTCCGGACTGCTGGCCCACGATCCGGAGGCACAATATTCCTCAAAAACACAATCCTTGCTTCTGCACTAACTGCAAGCAGTGTCCCGGCTACTTATGCTTCGGCTGTGCTGCACATCTGAAGGATTAAAGCGTAAAGTGCCTGTAAACAGCAAACTGCCAAGTAAAGATTCAGTATTAAAACACCTTCAAATATTTCAGTATTCCCCCTTTCCAGCCTTCTGAGAGATGTTAAACGTTCCAGACCTCGGTAATTCTGCCTTCTGTCTCAGGTGCTCTGCACGTTGCTTTCTTGGCTCATGAGCTCAATTTCAATCCTAGAAGAAACCTACGCTGTGAGAAAGTCCCACCGAGTCAGCCAGCGGCTCTGCTGAACCCCTAGAGCACCGGAAAGGTGCGGGGGTACCCGGGTGTCAGCGGGGTCCGCCTGACGCGCACCCAGGACCAGGCGGAGCCCGGCACTGCGAGCGACGCGGGCCGCTCCATTTGTTCACGTCTGGCTGTCGCTGCCAGGTCGCACAGCCGGGGCAAAAGAAAATCTCCTCCCAGGCAGCCCAGGTCGCCTCTTCCCATCTCATTTTCCAGACAGGGAATTCCAGCGGGGCGAGCAGCACAGGGCCGCTGCACGGCCACAAATGCACTGCCAAGGAGAACAGCACTGGGACGCCGACACTGCACCAGGACACTGACCCTACACCAGCACTGCACCAGCCTCCACCTCTCCTGCCAGGTAAGGACCATCTCGCACAGTTGCGACTCCTCGTATTAAGGGGAAAAAGAACCCCAAACCCCTCCTTATATCCTTAAGCCTCCTTATATCCTGCTTAGTTCACATTACATCCTCCTTTTTTATTCTTAATGCTGCAATTATTTAAATATTCTTTCTGTGGATGCATTTTACAACGTGTATATATATATATATATATATCTTTGTATATACAGGCTAACATATATGCCTCGACAGGCTAGTTCAATAAATTAAAGCTCAAAACACCAAATGTATGCACAGCAGTATGTACAAACTGCAATAAATTAAGAGGATCGAATGCCCAGCGCATTAAATAAGGGCCCCAGAGCGCTGCCCACCTCCAAGCGGGAGGCTCCCGTGCCGAGCCGGCCCCTGCCCAGGCCAGGGCCATCCAGGGCCGAGCCCATTGCCGGGGCCCTCCCGGCTTCTCTCCTCCCCGCTACCCTTTACAGCGGGCCGAGCACAGGGCCCACAGCCGGATTCGGGCACCTCTGGCTGGTACCACAAGGGCCTGAACCCCCGCTCCGAGCTCCCCACCTCCTGCTCCATAAAGCAAGCTTGGAAAAGAGCCGCCCGACACTGAACAGTGTTAAAAATGTCACACCACAGAAACGAATTCAGCGCCAGGAAGGGAATTCTAGCCGGGAAGCAGGAGCTCCCCACTGCCGCAGCAGTGCCCAGGCAGCGGCACTTCCAGGGCTGCTCCCTGGGGGACAGAGGCAGGGGGTGGGTGGCACAAGGGCAGCCCCTCGTTCCCACATCCCCTTTCCCCGATTCCCTCAGCTGCAGCACAAGGCTCCGCGTGTGGGAGCGTCGCACACAGCAGCCCGAGGGCCTCCCCATGTGGGATGGGGCCGTCGGGACGCAGCGACCGGGGACGAAGCCCTTGCACTGTCAGGCCTCCAACAGCAAGAGCTTCTCTTGTGCAAGAGACCGAGTAGGCAACAGCAACTAGGCTGCAGAATTCACTTAATTAAAATTAATAAACTTGAGAGGCAACAGAATCTCCTCGTGCAAAAAGGAAACTCAACTACATGGGGGAAAAATATGGGCTGAGCAAGGCAACTTGTGGCTTTTACCTACAGCTTCCAGCCCCTGTATCTGCCATTTGCCTGCGTGTCCCCCGTATTYGGGGGGTTTGCTCCTGATTTACAGGCACTAACTGGCGGGACCCTGGACTGGCTATTGCAGTTCTGCCCCTCGAGCAGCTACTGCGGTCACTCCTTGCACTAGGGCACAGGGGCGGAGGGCGCCGCGCGGCTATTTTAGGCTAGGGCAGCTATTTAACCCGGCCTCGCGGGATGGCAAACCCAGAGCTCTGCCTGTGGGTGACACCGCCGGCCCGCACTCCAAAGCTGCCGCCCTCCCCGTGCGCAGGCCACGCGCGGCCCCGCTCAAATAAAAAGCTTCAAAACGGGCAACTCTTTTCTTCAACCGAGTCTCCCAAAGAGGGGGGGAAAAATTACAACTCGTGGGTGCAGAATCCATTAAAACCCAATCCCAATCCAGCCCAAGCACATTCGGAAGATATTTAAACCCACAAGCACATATGTGGCCTTCTATGAATGCCCAGGAGAACTTGCAAGCTTAAGGCACAACTAAGTGGTACAGACTGTTTGACAATACAGTGACAAGAGTTAAAAACTTTAAGCATCAAATCCAACTGAGACAAACTTTTGTATTAACAGCTTTGGGTATTTAAATTAAACCAAAGAAATACCAACACATTCTCAAAATTGTGATACAGTTAAAAAGAAGGCAAGTAAGAAAGATGAGTTAACTTAAGAAATATCTACCTGAAACAGAACCTCAAGATTTGTTTGGTTTTGCGACTGGTGGGGCTTCTTTAATTGTACTGTTACTCAAGCAGTGCTGGGCATGATGCAGTGCTAAGTCTAAAACCAATGCAGAAAAAAATACAGATGTGCCCCGATGCTGCCCAGTTTGGGCAACTCATTCTACAGACAATCCTTCACTTCCCTCGCCTGCTTCCAATCTTGCACCCGCAGCTAAAATAATCAGAGCTCAGCAGAGACCACCAAGTCTCACAATACCTTCAGAATCTGTTTCACAGGATTTTTCAGAGGTAACTGTGACTAAATTTAAGTCAATGACTTCTCTTCATACAGCACTGAATTTTATGTATTATGAAGACATTGCTTTCTATTCTGTTTCCAAATCCTTAAAATTCTTTCCTATCACCTCTTCCCTCATAATCTTCCAAATAATTTGATTATGGGGGTGAATTTAAGTCTTGGGAATGAGGGAACTCAGACTATTTATTTATTTTACTGACTTATTCAGAGTTCTAATTTCTGCCAAGTGTCCTCACCAGGCAACAGATACTGAATCTCAAGAGTCTTCTGTCCTCCTTAGATGAGGAATCACCATTGCAAACTCTTCAAAAATACATCACCCCTCACAACCACTAGATTTGGTTTTAACGTGCGTATTTAACCCAGCAATGCAGATAGGACTAATCTGTTGGAGACAAAAAAAACACTTCAAACGACAGACAGTTTACAGGAAATACATACTGCTATTCAGAAGGATTTAAACTCTTCAAACTGAGAGCTGAGTAGTAGGCTAACTTTCTCAGTACTAGTGCAATATTTATTTTAGTGACTGCTTTCCACACCAAACATAAAGATACCCAAAATATTAAGATTCCAGTACAAATACAAAAATAGTTTCTTACTCTCTTGGTTGCTGCCCCAGTCTGAAGCTCCTTCGGCTGCTGTGCCCTCGGTAGCCTCTAGCTGAAGTAAGTGAGCACGATCATCTGTATGGGCTGCCTGCACACGGGGCACGGTTTGTTCCTCTTCTTCAGCTTCCTCGCGCACGTGAAACACGACATCAGGTGCCCTGTTCTGCCGTGCACTATGCAGCCGTTCTTGGGTCTGCTCTGACATATGACGCAGGGCTCGATGCTGGTGACGGGCAGGGTGCTCTCCGTGCTGTCCTCCTTGTCCTGCACGTCTCTCTTCTCGGGTTCCTTGAAGTCCTCCTGACTGCTACAAAACAGGCTGCTGGACGTGGACGGCTGCGAATAGTCCTCGCTCTCCTGGGACTCGCAGATTTGCGCTGCTTTATCATCACCTTCCTCCAAAGCCACCTCTTTATCTTCCGTCACCTTCACTTTCTTGCAGTCAGGCACGTCGAAACCTTCTTCGGACTCCAAGGGCAGGGAACTTTCTAATTTGCTTTTCTCTGACTTCTCACTCTTGTCCTCGGGCAGCCAGTCCTCGCGCAGGGCCCAGCAGCGGTGGCAGTGGCGCGGGAGCGGAGGGTTCATCTCCCCACACTCGGGGCACTTCCAGTAATCCTGCAGCCGAGCAGAGGTTGGGACAGGTCAGCTCTGGGCAACTCGCACAATCCCAATAACTGCAGATTACAGAGAAGCTACTGCAGCCAAAAAATAACAAACCAGCCTGATCTCTCCACTTGTTTCTAGCTTAAAAATTCAATTTTGAGAGTCTGGAATAGAACAGACTTATTTTTCAAAGATACTGCTTACAGTAGACATTTGAAATAATAATAGAGGTAGATTTTTTATATTTTATTATTATTATTATTCTCCGTCCAAACTGAAGAAACCAGACCAGAGGAATCAGCAGAGAACCTCCACATGAGCTTTTCTGCTGAAAGAGCTCCCATTTCCATTATTTTTTGGGGTGAGTTACGAACTGGAAGCCGTTTCTGAACTGACTCGCAGCCCTCTGGCTGCAGGAAGGGCCTCCAACCTGGGTGATCCCAAGCGAGCGGTTGCCGGGTGTTTATTTCCAGGGATGCTGCTCTGCCAAGCGGCCGGGCGAGGGCACTCTGGGACAGCAGCAGTGCTGGGAGCCCCGAGGGTGGCACCGACTCACAGCTACTCCACAGGCACCACTAGAGACCCACCGCACCATCAAAATRCCCCTTTTTTGTATTTTTTGTAACAAAGAAAAAAGAAAAGGCTTCTAATAAGGAAAAAAGAAAGAGAACAAAAAGCTCTTATTTGGAAGACTTGAAGCATTTTTTTGGTTTCAGTGCTGAACAACATAGGCGGCATCCAAAGCTTAAGGCACCAATTTTAAACCCTAAAAGGGAGCGCTCTGTTTTCAAGCGGGGTCTGGCCCTGTGTTTTACAAACACAGCAGAGTCCCGCAGAGCGCTGAGGGACTGGAATGTTTCACATCACTTTGCACAGCAGCTYTATTCAAGCTTCAACAGGGAAAAACAACTAAAACACACATGGCTTTTTTAATTCTAGGCACACCTTTAAAAAAATACTCAACGTCACATTTAGGAATTCCAGCTAACCTTCAAGACTCAACTTATTTTCAACTGCTGTGAGGGTATATTTTATTTACAGCTGTCTACATATTTAGTTCCAAATACCACACACCTGCATTTCTCCCGACAACCAAGAACTTCCTCACAGTATTAAAAAAGCCTCAAGACCTACTAATTTTACTGTCCTGAAAACTACTTCTGAAAGGTTTGCCTTCCTATCTCTATACTACCGACTCCTTCATTCAGGATGGACAAGAAAATGAAATACTCTGGCTTGTGACAAAAGTTCAACATACACAGTATTTAGAAGACTATTATATTTGCCTTTTGCATAACAAGTCAACCTTAGGCTCTAAATAATTTTCTTCCAGTAACTGTTTTTCTAAACTGGGTTAGGAACCTTTTTAAGGAACATGAATATTTAAAAATTCCCATGTTGGTAATCAAACTATTAGCTGGGAACCTTCAAGTATGCAAGAAAAACACTAATTTAATATATAAGAAAATCACGGTTAACCAGATTTCACCTATAAGTCTTGACCTACTCTGCCCATTGACCCAATTCACGGTGCTTTACAGATCAAGGATTTACTCACAGCTAGGGAAATCTCTGGATCTTCATCAAATGAATCAGCATCGCTTTCTTCATCTTGATAAATAGTCAACTGATACACCTGATTAAAATAATAATGATAAAAAAAATCACTCTAATCTCTGAAGCACTTCTTTGGGCATTCAATTTAAAAACTTTTCTGATAATCACTTTTGATCAAAAGTAGTAAGTTTCCTATCAAGAAAGACTAGAAAATAATTGCCTATTAGATCTGAGAGCTAGGTCTGGGAAAAAGATAATGTTTTCACACTTGGGCCATAGAGTTTGACAAACACATGTATGTAGATAACGGTCATCTTTCTCATACAGTTTATGTCAACTGTGAATGGAAACGGTAGCAGCACGAAACACTCTCCTTTAACGCCACTGTTAAGGAAACAAAACCCAACCCTCAGTTCTTTCCCTCTCTAAATCCCTCTCTCAATCCRCAGCGCAGCCCTGTAGGACTCGAGGTCACTGCAAATCAGTGCAGACGGTTCCTTTCTTCCACTCCCAAATATCATGATCATGTATGTCAATCCAGAACTGCACAGTTCTGGATTCTGGAATGGCTGAAGTGCACAGCTGTGTAACTCAGTGAGTGACTAGATGCAGCATCATGTAACAAGGCTGAAGAATTATTGTCTCTGTGTGTCAGATTTTCAACATGAAGTATTCAAGCAATTTTCCTTCTTATCTACCAACCAAGAAAAGCAAATACAAACCTCATCGTCTTCATCGGTGAGCTCCTGTCCTTCTTCATTATGGCTATAATCTTCTGAATAAATAGACTCAACTTCAAACTCTACACTGAACTGGTCTGAAACAGAACTATGGTCAAACCAATCAGAGTTCTCACTTAGTGAGCAGGCATCAAGATCCTGAAAAATAAAAAGAAAGAAAATATACATGCAGCCTCCCTGGTCTATATCTGTTAATATGGCTCTTAGTGAGATAAAACTGAACTATACAGTTTAATTAGCTACAGAAGAAGTGAGAAAACCTGCTGTTAGATGGAACATCTTTTATGAGACCAAGTGATTATACCTGGATATAAATAATTAAAGCTTTTACATCTGAAAGCTTTTTGTCAGCTTTATTATATAAGCAGCAGTTGGCCTGTATTCAGCTTAAAGACTGCTTCTCTTCCACAAAAGTTGTCCTAAAAAAATACACCAAAACACATGAAGAAGGTGCTGTTTTGTAGCTGTGTGTCATTAAATTTTAACTGTTATATTTTTCTTAAATTTAAGAAAGTGGTTAAGTGATAACAAATACCAAAAAGCAAAGTTACAATATCAGTTCTGTCAATTCAAAATACCGTTGTTTGACTAGATATACAACTAATTTAGCTTTTTATTGCTTAGCCTAACAAGAGATAATCTGTCTCAGTGCTTGCTGAAATCAATAAAAACATTAGTAAGGGCTACACAAATAAAACAGATCACACCACCAAGGCACTAAGATGTGCAGACAACAAAGTTGTACTATAACACTATAACCACCCCTCTCCCACAGCTAGATGCTGTTCTGTGTTACAGAAGCCTATGATTACTTTTCTCTAAGAAAGTGCTTACTTTAAAATACAAAACAGCACTTTTTAAGTACTGCCCCAAGGAATGAGAATCTACTTGCCTGACTTTCTTCACGAATTCAGAGTCCACATTCCACACTGAGCTTTGTCAGAAACATCTWTGAAACACCTGACCCTAGGGCACCACATACCCCACCCCACTGACTCCTCTTCGCTTTCTTTCCTTCCCCCACTTCCCAGATGCTGCTAAGGGCGCTGCTGGTTTCAGTTACTAACATGAGGATCCAGCACGGACACCCACAGTTGTGCTCCCTACAGAGTCTGCACACCCAGCCATCACAAAAAGCAGTTTGGGACTTACGGCTATGGAAGGAGAATCTGTGGAATCGCTGCTATTGCTTCTCTCACGGCACAGCCCACTGACCACACACCAGGACAGGCTTTCATCAAAGGTCAACGAAATGCTGTCTGATTTGTGTCGTTTTCTTCTGTCATTAGGAGGACCATCTAAAGAATTTTCTTCTGGGCACATTAAAGAGTTTTTATTAATCCAAAAACATCTACATAGGGTGCAGTTTTGCTTGTCCAGCAGCAGCTTAAAATATCATTTACTTATTTGGGAGTTCAGAAATAATTGTTTTTCAGTATTATTTTATGAAAAGAAAAAAAAAACAAAGGCACTGAAAGTTAACTTTAAGAAGGCACAGTAACACAGAGGAACATGAGAAATGTGGAACACATTCAAGAATACTATGTTCTAACAGAATAACCAACCCCTGGAACAACTTGTAAATGGCAGTTTTCRTATTTTGCAATTGCCATGTTTGCTAAGTTGGAAGTGCTTTTCTTTACCTCATTTCATACAAAGCACTTTAATTAAACTCCTTCTAGCTCTCAGGAGCTCAGTGAGGGTTCCCAGAGCTCCCCCTGCAGTCAGAATCCAGAAAGGTACTTTCAGAGGCTTGCCAATCCCTTCCAGAGTCTGGAGGGTGACGTGAGCAACTAGTTCTCAGGTGAAACACAGAAGAATCTCACTCTGGGCAAGATTCAGGTCTTAGTTCCAGATATATCAGTAAGTCTATCATTAAATAGTTGCACTTCACGTAATAGTGTTTTCTCAAAAGGCTTTTGCAACAAATTCTTGTATGAATGAGTTCGACCACCCTCTAGCAAGAAAACTGTCAGGACTAACACATCGTAAAAAGTTAACTATAAAAGTCATTACTTTGAGTTGTGCATATTAATTATTTTCAATTTGAAGGCAGAAAAGCAGTGTTTTTAAGTATGCCCCATTTTAGAACAACATTGTACAGCTGCATAAGGAGGAGGACAGCATTTCAGCCGTAAGTAGATCAAAATTCAGCTCCACTGGTGTTTACGGAATTGGACAAGAAATAAGTCTATTTAAAACACATGGCAAAAAACAGGATGTAATAAGTGCAGTGGAGTGAAAATTTCCAAACAGGACCAACAAATCAGTCCAACAGACTTTGGTAAGAGCCTGCYGTCCCCTCCAGGTGCCTTTTGCACACACCCTCTATCGCCCAATCCTCCCTTGCCTTGCAAAAACACATCCTGACAATCCCTGGGTCTCCGAGGCTTGAATCTTTCATTGTAAAAGAAAAAGAGAACAAAACACTTGTACATACTTTGAGACTTCTCTTACTTTCCCTTGGTGCTTCTTGGCTCAGCCCCTCTCTTTTCTTTTTTCGCCCTGAGAGCCCCACCAAACTTGGTGCCCCCAGGCCCAAGGGCTGCTCCTCTCCATCGGTGTCCTCATTAAGGTGCCATGGCTCCATGCTGTACTCATAATGCACCACCACAGGGGTTCTACACACTAGAGAAGCGGCTCCAAGGGAGCCACTCCCATGCCAATTTAACAAGAATAGTGGTTTAAAAGGAAGATTTCCTACAAATTAGAAAAAAAGTGTATATAAAAACACTACATTAAAAGAACTTTTAAGGTTGTAACAAACTGATAAACGGACGCAAAGGCAGAGTTAACAATCAAACCCACAATAAGTAAGCACAACACAGGGCCTTACGTGCTCTGGGTCATGCCTAAATACTACAGGTTATGATGTTTAACTGTGATTTTCCATCCTTTCATCAGTTTTAGTTACAAAGTTAAAATGTTCTTTTAATCTAGTGCAAACCGCTCAGCAATGCAGTACAGTTTTCGGGCTGTCTAATATAAAAACGACTCAATTAAAAAAAAAAAAAGACAAAAAGACAAAAAGAGAGGAACTGAAAAATGTTTCCAAGCAACTTAAGGAAAAAGAAGATCTAATTGTTGCCCTGGTGATTACAAGTATCAAGTCATGAGCTAATAAACAAAAACTGAGAACTAACTGACGTGAAAAACTGCAAAGTAATATGTAAGTTGGAATGTAGAGAACACTTGCACTGAGAAATTTRAAGTTGTACAGGTTCATGCAGACCAGCTTTTTTTGAGAATTATTAGAATAAGCTACACATTTTGGAAATATGTCAATAATTAATTAACCACAGCAAAGTAAAGGTGGAGAGAACATTAAGAAGTGGCCAATTGGACTTTTGGACTTTTTTTTTTAATAAATAAATTCAGGAATGTCTGGAATCCAAACATATCCAAAATCATGCAGTGAAAGTTAGGCATAGYATCTTTCACTTCTGAGTAACCAACTAAAATCTGATGCAAACTTCTTTGGCAACCAAAAATTGGCTGTTGCTCTCTAGCGACAAAAATTTTAAATCTTGTGGTCTACAGAGCRAACTGAAATTAATTTGATTATATCAGTCTATTGATAACCAAGTGTTCTCATCATGAAGTGACACAACTACTAAACCTGTTCACACCAGCACGACTTGTTCTTTTATCATCTTACTAATAGTGCTAGAGATCCAAACTGTGAGACAATACTGCAGCAATGCAAAGAATTCTACATTTCTACCAGACTGAACATTTTCTTTAAGACAAGCAGAGAAAAAGCAGTAGTACATGTGACCAGCTTTCAAAATGAGCAAGACAACAGATTTTTTCCCCTAAGTGAACATGCTACCAAGTGCTCTGTGCCATAAATTTGCACATACCAGATTCACTGTGTGTTCTCCTCCTAGAAGAAGTGGGTCGGGAAGACAAGTTAGGTGAAGTTTGCCTCTCTTCTAACTCTTGCATGGATTCCTATTAACAGAAATACTGCATAAGCACAAATATAAAAGTTCAGAATTACTTTGTGTCTAAACCATGGACAGTACAGTGTGAAACAAAAGTGATTTTACACATCAACATCAAAGAACATATCAAAATGAAAGATCACCTTTAAAACATTTTCTGCTTCAAGCTGTAATCTGGCATCATCCTCAGGTGTCGCAGCMAGTGTTGAATCTGGAAAAAAAAAGCCTATTAAAACAGCAGTAAAAAAAGAAAAAAAAAGCAATCTCAAGTTCCAGGAAAAAAAAAATCTAAGAAAAGCAAGGGAGGGAAGATAACAGCWGACTACTTTCACGTCCAAGTTCCAATCAGAATTTACAATCAAGTATTTTTTTAAACAAATGGGAAAAAAACAGTCCTTTGCTCTTCAGGTATATCTAATACTCTACCAGTGAAGTACTATTACGAAAATGGAAAAGGAGGAAGAAGAAATCCCAACCACAAAGTATGTCAGGATTGTATTATAAATGCCTAGGTGAAGCATATGCATCAGCTAGAGTTCTGCAGATAAGAAAAAACACAGGTAGGAAATACTTTCCATGTTTCCTCCATTCTGAAGTGCGTTTTACTAGCTATCATCTTACGRAAACACTGATTTAATATAAAATAAATAGCAGAAGAAAAATTCTCTTTTATTGACATATTGTCAGCGTGGAGCCCAGAGTAATCAATTATTTTCCCCTCCCAAAATAGCCAGAGCTGGTTTTAGCACTGCAAACTTAACAGTGAGGGCCAAGAAAGACAGTGTCCTCCCTATTGAGCATTTGAGCACTTACCTTTAATAAGAATCAGAAACAAAGTGAGTCTTATTGTGGATTTAGAAATAATCTTATAAAATGGCCTGATTTTTTCACTCCTTATATTATCCCCAAAATTACAGCTATATTGAGCATTTTTATACTCTGAAAAGAACGTGTGCAACAATTCTCCCCAATTCTATGAAGAGTCTACCCATTAAGTTATTTGTTAAGCATACAGGTTTTTTGGTTTTTTTTTTTTAGAGGACTTGGATTTATCTGGTATAGTTGAGCTTATGACCTGTTCCAAAGGTACTCCACATAAAGATTTGAACACAAAAACAAAACGCTTGGAAAAAAAAAAATCAAAAACACTAGAAAAAAAAATCAGAGGTTTAGCCTTACTTCACTGTTAGCACAAGCTCAAACAGCTCMGTTTGGTCCCAAACTCTTCAGAAGAACATAAAAAGAAACTGATCTATAAGAAATACTAAGAGGCATTTTTTTGTTTCAATTCAGTCCCATTTGTATTCAGCTCTGACTATGCTTGCTCTGGTTTATGTCCCACAAAACTACCCAAATGCAGTTCAGATTCRATTTTATTTCCTGGAAGAAAAACAAACAAACACCACAACAGACTTGGTTTTATTTTCTTTTACTTGCAGTCACTCTGGGCACCGCTGTGTAAACTCAAACAGCTCATCAAGGAGGGACAGATGCTATCTGCTCACTGCATACAAGATGCATTACCGTAGGCATCTGTGCCTTCCCTATTTCTGAACCCCCACACAGAGGCCCTCCAAATCTAGCTTACCTTGTTGATTGATTGCTACCAAATTTCGGGAAATCATTGAATATACTCTCCTTAGATGGGGATAAAAAAAAAAAAAAAAAAAAGAGAGAAATGTTGCAAGTTAATTACTGTAGTGTTTCTACATATTCTGCACATTCACCTAAAAAGACGTCCATGTTAGAATTTATTATTTTTAGTGCCCCAAAAAGCAGGCTTATTTCCACAAAGAATGTGGAGAACACTCGTCCTGTCTTGCTGACCTTTTCCTCAGCTTTGTTATGTCACTTGTAAAAACAAAGCCCAAACAAAAAACCCTCTCCCTTTCCAAAGAAAGGGGAGTTTACTCACCTCAGTAAATTTCAAAATACTTGATTTTTCAAAATCACTTCACAAGCCAGAAAATAGAAGATCACAACTCTTGTTAAAATGATTTTACAAGAAGCTCCTAATTTAGCAGCAGCAACTTTGAGCTCCAACGCGGGTTCAAAATTATTCTTGCTAGAACTTGCACAAACAACTTATACAGGTTTTGAAACACAAGCAAACTTGTATTAAACTGTGATTTATGTCAAGGCTCAAAAGAGCCGGCATATAAGCCTTGGAGCAAGGCAGCCTATTCAAAATGAAGGCTAAAATACTGCAGCTTTGAGTGGGGTAAGACTTTATTATTGTGTGGGAGAACACGCTGGAATTAAACACAATTATTCTCAGCTGTAATTTCTAAAACCTAGACTGCTTCATTTGTACATAGGTTGCCAAGTCAGGAGTCCAATTTGACATGTTTCTGCAACTCCTCTGTAGTTGTTAAATTACAAATGAATGAGGGGAAAAAAAAAGTCTAAAACCTCAGTGTTTGAAGCTACTGTGCTCCTTTCAAGCTTGCAGATCATGTGAAGTGTGTTGGTTATGAACGCAAACATTGGCTCTGTAAGCTTCCAAATTAAAAAGAAAAAAAAAAAAAAAAAAAAAAAGGAAAAAGGCCAGACAGGTGATTAACTACAACAGCTGAACATCTTAACATCTTTCAAGGTAGNTTTTTTTTTTTTTTTTTTTTTTTTTTAAGAGGACCTGGATTTATCTGGTATAGTTGAGCTTATGACCTGTTCCAAAGGTACTCCACATAAAGATTTGAACACAAAAACAAAACGCTTGGAAAAAAAATCGAAAACACTAGAAAAAAATCAGAGGTTTAGCCTTACTTCACTGTTAGCACAAGCTCAAACAGCTCAGTTTGGTCCCAAACTCTTCAGAAGAACACAGAAAGAAACTGATCTATAAGAAATACTAAGAGGCAAACAATTTTTTTTGTTTCAATTCAGTCCCATTTGTATTCAGCTCTGACTATGCTTGCTCTGGTTTATGTCCCACAAAACTACCCAAATGCAGTTCAGATTCAATTTTATTTCCTGGAAGAAAAACAAACAAACACCACAACAGACTTGGTTTTATTTTCTTTTACTTGCAGTCACTCTGGGCACCGCTGTGTAAACTCAAACAGCTCATCAAGGAGGGACAGATGCTATCTGCTCACTGCATACAAGATGCATTACCGTAGGCATCTGTGCCTTCCCTATTTCTGAACCCCCACACAGAGGCCCTCCAAATCTAGCTTACCTTGTTGATTGATTGCTACCAAATTTCGGGAAATCATTGAATATACTCTCCTTAGATGGGGATAAAAAAAAAAAAAAAAAAAAGAGAGAAATGTTGCAAGTTAATTACTGTAGTGTTTCTACATATTCTGCACATTCACCTAAAAAGACGTCCATGTTAGAATTTATTATTTTTAGTGCCCCAAAAAGCAGGCTTATTTCCACAAAGAATGTGGAGAACACTCGTCCTGTCTTGCTGACCTTTTCCTCAGCTTTGTTATGTCACTTGTAAAAACAAAGCCCAAACAAAAAACCCTCTCCCTTTCCAAAGAAAGGGGAGTTTACTCACCTCAGTAAATTTCAAAATACTTGATTTTTCAAAATCACTTCACAAGCCAGAAAATAGAAGATCACAACTCTTGTTAAAATGATTTTACAAGAAGCTCCTAATTTAGCAGCAGCAACTTTGAGCTCCAACGCGGGTTCAAAATTATTCTTGCTAGAACTTGCACAAACAACTTATACAGGTTTTGAAACACAAGCAAACTTGTATTAAACTGTGATTTATGTCAAGGCTCAAAAGAGCCGGCATATAAGCCTTGGAGCAAGGCAGCCTATTCAAAATGAAGGCTAAAATACTGCAGCTTTGAGTGGGGTAAGACTTTATTATTGTGTGGGAGAACACGCTGGAATTAAACACAATTATTCTCAGCTGTAATTTCTAAAACCTAGACTGCTTCATTTGTACATAGGTTGCCAAGTCAGGAGTCCAATTTGACATGTTTCTGCAACTCCTCTGTAGTTGTTAAATTACAAATGAATGAGGGGAAAAAAAAAGTCTAAAACCTCAGTGTTTGAAGCTACTGTGCTCCTTTCAAGCTTGCAGATCATGTGAAGTGTGTTGGTTATGAACGCAAACATTGGCTCTGTAAGCTTCCAAATTAAAAAGAAAAAAAAAAAAAAAAAGGAAAAAGGCCAGACAGGTGATTAACTACAACAGCTGAACATCTTAACATCTTTCAAGGTAGAGAGAACTAAAACTGCCCTACACAGTCATTATGTTCTGTGCAGGTCACAAGGAGCTCTCAGAAAAGCATGTCATTTTACCTGTGTTCCTTTACTGAAAAGCTTGGTACTCCAAATAAATCCCCAAGGAGATCATTTGCACAGTGCACAATATGCTGTTGTTTTTCATCATATAATTGTTTAGACATAATATATTGGCCAAGATAGAATATTACCTGTAAAACAAACCAAATACACAGACATTAAACACAGATGCTTTACTGTTACAAGACAGACCTTAACTTCCTTGATACATTTGCTCTTCTCAGATCAACTGCCTGAAAACCCCTCTGAAGTACCATTTTCATCTCTGGTGCACCAAGTAGTCTGCTATTCTACAATAAACTGCAGAGTTTCAGAAACTTGCTCCAGGCAGTCTAAAGACAATGTCCCGTCCCAGTACTTTCTATCCAAGATGTGAACTACTCCCTCCCATTCACCSAAAACAAAAGAAGACTCCCTCTGCATTTGGTGTAATCTATCTTTGCCGATTAAAAGTTCTCACCTCCTTCATGGTAAAAGTGTCCTTCTCTGCGCCAGCTAACTTCAGCAGTGTCAGCAACAATGGCTTTGGTTTAACCTATGGTGGGAAGAAGAAAGGCAGCACTTGTCAAAAAATACCGGGTTACGTATACAGACGACTTCCTTCCTTCTGCATTTATCTGATACACAGGCACCCAAACCGATGAAAACATACTTTTGACTTTGCAAAGTCGGAAGTTAAAAAGAAAATACTGCAAGCCCAGTCTTACTAAGTTTCTCATACACTGAACATCCTAGCAGCCCTTCCCATCTCTCCTACCTCTACCCTGCCCCCCTCCCAGGGGCTGTGAAAGTGGAGTYATTTTGATGGCCATTCCATGAGCAACTTCCAAAAGCGAGGAGGGAAGTGCTTTCCTTCTGGCCCCGCTCGCTGCACTGCTAGGGCAGCACAGGAGACAAGGACAAGCAGCAGGGACTGCCACAGCTGCCAAGAACAAGCCTGGGGAGCCCTGTCCAAGAAATCCCAGAACAGTACATCCTAGTCCCGACGTTTTACGAACACCAGGAGTATTCTAAGAACAGGCTAATTATTTAAACACATTCTCTAAAATAGGGGGAAAAATAAAGCCTATTACAAAAACCTTTTTAAGAAAGCCTAAACAAAATATCATGAGGCAAAGGATAATGCTTAATGGGAGAGAGGGTCTTCCCTATACTCCATTTAAAAAATCTGCTAAAACCAACATAAAGCCTTAGTGCATTAACAAGCAATTGGTTGCACGAATAACACATCAGCAAAACCAGCAAGTATGCAAACCATGATAAACATGTCTGCTCAGCCCTTCTAAATGCTGAAGCTATTTGGGGAAGGGAGGATATATCGCAGTTTCATAAAGGAAACAAATACAAATAAAATAGTAATGACAGCTTWACACGGTAAGGCAAGGCACAGTTTCGGGTCTCAGACCCCACACCAGATGCATGGGCTAGGACCGTCTTACCCCCATGTCTCCTCTCCTCAATTCCTGCAAGCAGGAAGTTATTCCCCACAGATCCGACTGCCTATCACAGCATCGCATTAGAGGATTTAAAAACATATTAACAAAACAAAACAAACAAAAAAACCCATAGGCAACTGATCCTCAGTTTTGCGTTTTGAAAGCTCTTTATCAAATTGGTGTTTTAGGCTTTAGCCTTCTACAAAAGGCCATGAGTTAACTCCTCGTGGCACACCGTGCCGTTCTGAACAGGCCAACCCTAYCACAGATACGGTCCCTATCCTAAGGAAAAGTTCTGCATGGAGCCAGCGCAGCGGAACCGTCACTTCMTCGTGCAAGGCCAGGGTGAGCAAAGCCTTAAATAGAAACGAAAGCTCTTACTACARCTTGCTTCCAAGTTCCAAGACGGCAGAAAGTGAAAGTGCCAAATTCAAATCCTACAGTTGTAACTGCACGAGCGGCTCACAAYGTTTTTACCATCAACTTCAGGCTTTGCACAAAGCAGGCTTTCCACCAGTTTGTAGTTCCAGCACCTGCTCTGTTTCCTGCCATGAAGCACTCAGCGTGATCAAATGGGGCTGGAAAGCGCTTCCGATGGGGATCCCATAGCCCCAGTCTGAGTCCYGCAGGAAGGAGTCGGGACCTGAACCATCTCCTTCCTCGGACGGGGAGGCCAAAGGGAGCACATCCTCACCGGGCCTCCTGGCTTCCTCTCACCACCACTGCCTGAGCAAAGCGGCCCCTCTTAATCAGCAGATACATTTGTTTGCATATATAAGTAAATACACAGAGAGAGAGAATAAAAAGGGCAGAAAAAAAGAAGAGCCTCGCGCGCCCGGCAGAGCTACTGACCAGCGCCTCCTGCTCCGCGGCGGTGACAGGCGAGGCGTCGGCGAGGGAGGACATCTTGGTGTTGCACATCTGCCTGCAGCCCCGGGGGGAGAGCCGACATGTTAGGCGCGCGGCGGCCGCGCTGCCCGCTCCGCCGCCCGCCCTTCCGCGCTGCCCGGCGCGGCCCCGCTCACCCGGCGGCCGCGTCCCGCGGGCGCCCGCGCCCTCCCCTTATATAGCGCCGCGAGGGGCAGGCAAGCCGGGGCTTAGCTCTCCGGCCCGCCGCGCCGCGACATGTCCGAGCACGACCCGGCGAGTCAGCGCCGCGTCACCGAGGCGGGGCGACAGGCGGCCGCCTCGGCCTGGCCTCGCCTCCTCTCCCTTCCCCTTCCCCCTCCGAGCGGCCCCGCGCGGCGCCGGGCCCCGCACGCACCGCCAGCCGCGCCCGCGCCGCTCGGCCCGGCCGCTGGCGGCGGCGGGAGGGCCGCGGGATCTACCGCCCCGCGCCGCCGCTCCCGCGCCGCGCCGCCATCTTCTGCGCCGCGCCGCGCGGCCCCGCGCAGCGCCCCCTCGCGGCGCGCCAACGGCCGCCAACGGCCGCGCCAACCGCCGCCAACGGTCACCGGCGGAGAGCCCCCTCGCCCGAGGCGGCCGCGCTCTGCCCGCAGCACGGACAGTGCTTTGGGTTGCGGCCTCTCCCGTAAAACCCGCGGGTTTGGCTAAATAAATAAAACGTTGCTGCCTGCGGAGGTGATTCTTTAGGGCTGGATGACCAGGGCTGCCTGGTGAGGACAAGGCTGGATGAGTCTGCTCCTGCCTTGCAGTGCTTAACTCTACTTACAAATAGCTAAATAAATACATAAAAATATAATAATAATAATAATAATAATAATAATAATAAAGCCTCATTACAGGAAGAATGGGGAGCTCCCTTTGTATTCCCCACGGACACAGCAGCGTTTCAGGAACGCAGCCCAGTGTGCTGCGCGTGGCGGGAGGCCAAGGAGAATTGGACAGTCCGCAAACCCTCATCCCCTCACCTCCTACCCTGTAGTTTTGAGTGTAAGTGTGGCTTATTTATAAGTATGTTGTTCTGACTGTTTATTAGTTAACTTCTGGCATCTGCGCTTCAAGTAGAAGTAGTTTTCAGTCTCACTCCACTTTACGATTCCTGGGTTTACTCTTTCGCCGTGGCGATGTTTTGAAATGTTATTTGAGCAATGAAAACAGCTGGTAAAAGCAGGAATGCTGCAGACAGTGTTTGAAGATACGCTGTGGTAGCACGAACACTGTGTTCTACAACTCCGTGTGCTCATTTTCCATTACAACTGACTTGTCCAGACAAGCAACGGGTAACTGCCTGGGCTTGTCCTTTGGACAAATAAAGAGTTTTTTCAGGAAAAAAAAAAATGTGACCTTGTGAAAATTCCAGAAATATGTTAAGTCTAGACATTGGTGTAATGACGGATTTTGAGGACAAGCTTGTTATCCCTCTAAAGCTCAAGGTCCTATGAAGTGACATCTGAGCTGTGAGAACCCTGAAAAAATGTTTATTTACCCAAATTTACTGAGCTCAGAATTCAGGAGCTTTTTGAATTAGCAGGAATTTAAGTTAGCATGAATTTTTCTACATTAATACAGCCCAAGACCTAACAAGCTGGTAGCTAGGAGGTCCTTTTTCCTCTTCTCTGACAACAGTGTCATGTGACCAATCAATCTATAATTAAATTGTGATTCTTTCACAATTCCCACTTACCAGTTCATTAACTGCTAGGAGGAAACCAGTTTCAGTTCAGAATTTTATGAGTCTTTGATGATAATCTTATCTCTTTTGTCAGACACACTAATYCCGAGTCCCTGCAAGTAAGTAAAATACACTTGGTTAAGGAGATAGGAGGACATTTTCTGACACGTGACATTCCACTTTTGACCTATTTGTGACTAATACAGCATATGCTATTTCATCAATGTGCACAGTTGTTTCCTTATGCTTGGTAAGGCCGGGCAAGTACAGCTGAAATGTTTTATTGGGGGAAAAAAAAAAAAAAAACCCCAAAAACCCATGGTATTCATGCTGACTGCCCAGACACACTGGAAATGCAGAGAGATCCGATTTTAAAAACAAGTGTGAATTGACCAAAGTCAGTATTTATTCAGATTATGCCTATGTTGTAATGCACTTGCAAAATGAGCACATTTCAGCTCTGCATATTTATTTTTCCCTCTGTGTATATATATATATTTATATATGGAGAGGGGTTGTCATTCTTATCCAGAGATAAAAGTCAGTGCTCCCAAATAATCCTCCAATGAAAGTCTCTGTCTGAAAATGTGATTTCAGAGGTGCAACTCTGTGAACTTCCCCAAAGGAGTTCATTTGGGCCAAGTTTCTGAGAAAAAAAGCAACTATTACATGCAATTCTTGCTACAAACAGAATAGTACCTTTCTAGGATGCTAATTCTGTGCATAAAACTCTGTCTCTGTGCAGTAGATAAAGATCCTTCAAGGGTGAGTGCCAAACCTGAATGGTTCTGAGAGATGCATTCCCTATGAATTTGATGTGAGATGCATTCTCCCTGGATTTGTTGCCCCCGCTGCATTTCAGAATGCTGCAGCTTGGCCTCACATCCCTTTCTGCCAAGGGCTTCATCCCATTATGACCCTATGTGCCAAGAGGGTCAGGGCACTTTGGAGAAATGGGAAGAGTTGTTTCGGTCACATTCCCGTCTCATTTCAGTGTGTAAGTTYTTAAAAGGCCTCATGCCAGTGATACTGTGTCAATAGTTGATGCTTCCTTCTCGAGRCAAAGCCCATCCCAACAGCGAGATGTGTCGGTATCTGGAGTACTTCCACCAGAAAGATTTGCCACGGGTGAAGCCCAAGTTCTGCTAAATCAGAAAGGGACAGAGTCTGCTCCGGCCTCCTGACAGCCGGAATTAAGATATGTTTTCTTTCCTCTAGTTACCTGTTTAGTCCTTACTTTTGGAGGAAACTCTTCTGACTTCCAATGGTTTTGTTTGGGACATTACTAAGCGAGAAAAYGTATTTTCCCCTATTCTCGCTAACCTGGGAGCTGAGATATGTGGCTAGATTGTGACAAGTGCCTGCTTTGCTCCTCTGTAGCTGTGAAAATTAAACAATGCAGCGATCACACCTTCTGCACGAGTGCTTGATAGCGTTTAATTAGATCAGAGAAAGCCTCAGTTTAAGGATGTGCCTCATTTAAGCAAACTAGGCTGACACTATTCCAGCTACAAATCRCTTTTTTAATTTATTTTTTTAAATTCAGTCTAGCACCCAGCGGTTGCTGCTGAACGGATTTAACTGCTTGGCTCTTAYCTGAGCTGTTTGTAACTAACAACAAGCCCCACCTGGGTGTTACCTGACACAAGCTGCTTCTCCGCTCAGACCCATCCTGTGCGTCTGACCCAACTTAGGTGGCCACGTGCACCAAACGTGGGAGCGTTGCAGCCTTGCTGGCTGTCGCTCTCCTGCGAGCTCCCAGGCTTGCTTGTAAGGAACACGAATGTTGTTTGGGGCCGGCAAATCACCAGGATGCCCTCCCTTGCAGACCTTGCTGTGGTCTGCTTCCCAGGTTAATGTTTTGCTGATGCAGCTTTGGGGACTGGGGTATGATTCTCCTTCACCAGCATGAGCTACCCATTGCTAAACAAACAAACAAACAAACAAGGAAAGCTTTAGCACAGGCTCTATGTTCTTACTCTCAATATCATTGATTTAGTGACTTGCAGTCCCTTGTTTTGCTGCTATTAGCTGGGGTTCTGCTCCCGAGAGCGTAGCTTTGCAGAGACACCTTTAAAACGCAGCTTGCGTGCACACAGTTAAACAACAGTGTTTGTTTGTAGYTTGCCTGATTACTCAGGTCATTATCTGGCGCCTGGGCTAGCCTGGGCTTGAACCTTCCAGGCTAGTTTGAGTGGTTTCACTCAGAGAGTCTCTTGCCCTTTTACGTTATGAACCTCGGATGCGGTTCCAAAGCCCAGTTTGGAAGTGGATTTGCTCAGACTAGGAGTTGCAGATTAGTTATGGGTGCACCTGCTTCCYGAAATAAACTGTGGTACCCTGCCAAGTCCCACTCCTGAAGAGCAGAGCTGCTCTCTAACCTGCATTTATCTTTATGCCCGTGCCCTTGCTTCACAGAATCACACAGAATCACTTAATGGTTGGGGTTGGAAGGGACCTCTAGAGATCATCCAGTCYAACCCCCTGCTCCAGCAGGGACACCCAGAGCACGGGGCACAGGGCGGCATCCAGGCGGGTTGGAAGATCTCCAGAGAAGGAGACTCCACAGCCTCCCTGGGCAGCCTGTGCCAGGGCTCTGTCACCCTCACAGTGAAGAAGTTCCTCCTCACATGGAGATGATCAGCTGGCCTCTGGTCACATATTACCTCACCATCTAATTGCTGGCATGGAGATAGCTCCTGACCAGGAAGCAGGGAAGTTTTTAGAGAGTCTGTTCTTCTGTCAGCAAATTCGTCCCTGTTCAAACACAGACATGAAAGAACAACACGTGAGAACACGTTCATGCCACAGCGAGACCAAGGTTCCTCGGTGTGCTCAGTGGGTTCATGCTGCACTGCTTGGCAAACRAGCAAACACTGCACAACCCTATGCCCGGGCAGCAGTTTCTCAAGCTTCCCACCCTCTCCATCCCCAAATGACGGCTAAATTTGGATTGACCAAAATTTTGCTTAGTAAGAAAAAGGAACAGAAGGAAAAGGCAGGTTTGCTGGATCCAGAGCCAGTAGATACACATTCAAGAATGACAAGCTGGAGGAGTAAAAATACATCCACCAATGAATCCCAGGCAGCTACAGTCGACTTTGTGCTAAATTTACCTTTCTCTTAGCTGGCAAAGTGGCAGGCCAGACGGTGCTTTGCACCTCAAACATAGTACAGTTTGCATAGTATAATAAATATGCAGTATTTTTAAAACCATTCTATTATCTATGACTAATATGTGGTATTTTTATTGTCGTATTTTACAGTGTTTTGAATTAGAAAGATCTGAAGGGAAGGGGATTTTTACACAAATTACATGGGTTGTTCTTTACCTTTCCTAACACCGGCACAACATAGTTATCACGTAGCTGTTGTGGTCCAAAGATCGTATTTTCATTTTGGGTGATTTTTTTCCAAGTCTTTTCCTTTCTAGGCCTTTCTTTTTCTTCCTTTCTTTTCCAGGTCTTTTTGCCAGTAGTGGGAACCGGCRAATGCCACAACGAGGCAGCCAGGCCCTTCCAAAGGGCCACGTGTGTCTGGAAAAAGGAGCTGGTGAAGAAGGTCGCTGCCTCTTCCCGTGCACGACGAGAGCTGCGAGGCGCARGGGGCAGTTTCACGGCTGCAGAGAGAAACTCTATGGGTGATTGGGGCTTTCTGAAGTGCAGGTGCCAAACACCAGGTTGGGGTGACCGGTGCTGTCCTGAGC